GGAGAAAATATTGCAAGCAGCCAGAAAGAAGCAATTCAATTATTGTGGAAACACAATCAGGATAACACAAGATTTAGCAGCTTCTACATTAAGGGTCCAGAGGTCATGGAGCATGATATTCCGGAGGGCAAAGGAGATAGGATTACAACCAAGAATCACCTACCCAGCAAAACTGAGTGTAATCCTTCAGGGTAAAAAATGGTCATTCAATGAAATAGGGGACTTTCAAGCATTCCTGAGAAAAGACCAGAGCTGAAAAGAAAATTTGACTTTCAAATACAAGACTCAAGTGAAACATGGAAGAGGTAAACAGGAAAGAGAAATCATAAGAGACTTATTAAGGTTGAACTGTTTACATTCTTGCAGGGAAAGATGATATTTTTAACTCATGAGTCCTTTGTCAGCATTAGGGTAGTGGGAGGGAAAAAATTATATGTATGTATAGATAGATAGAGGGCACAGGGTGAGTTGAAGATGAAGGGGTGATATCTGGAAAATAAAATTAAGAAGTGAGAGAGGATTATACTGGGAAAAGGAGAAAGGGAGAAGTAGAATGGGGTAAATTATCTCACATGAAACAGACAAGAAAAGGCTTTTACAGTGGAGGGGAAATAGGGGAAGGTGAGAGGGAATGAGTGAATCTTATTCTCATAGGATTTGGCTTAAGGAGGGAATAACATACACAATGGGGTGTGGAAATCTATCTTACCCTACAGGAAAATAAGGGGGGAAGGGGACAAGAGAACAGGGGGTTGATAGAGGGGAGGGTTGATAGAGGGGAGGGCAGATTGGGGGAGGGACTAATCAAAAGCAAACACTTCTGAGGAGGGACAGGGTCAAAAGAGAGAATAGAATAATCGGGGGGTAGAATAGGATGAAGGGAAATGTACTTAGTTTTTCACAACAGGACTACTATGGAAGTGTTTTTCATGACTATACATCTATAGTCTGTATGGAGATGCTTGCCTTTTCAATGAGGGTGGGTGGTGAGAGAGCAAAGGAGAAAATTTGTAACCCAAAGTTTTAAAAACACATGTTAAAAATTAAAATTAAAATAAAAAAACCTGAAGCTTACAGTACCCCCAGTGAGCAGAGCCCAACTTTGACATAAAATTCAAAATGGAGAACCAGGAAAATGAGCGAATATAATCATCATCATCATCAACAACAACAACAACAACAAAAACCAAGCCTTGACCATAAAAAGCTACTACAGTGGCAGGGAAGACCAAGACATAAACTTAGAAGAAGACCTCAGTGTGAAAACAATTACAAGCAAAGCCTTAAAGAAAAATGTTAATTGAACCCAAGCCCGCCAAAAATTCCTGGAAGAGTTAATTGGCAAAAAAAAGTGAGAGTGATGAGAGAAAATTGTGAAAAGAGAATTAATAGCTCGGTAAAAGAGGGACAAAAAATACTAAAGAAACTATCACCTTAAAAACAGAATTGGCCAAATGGAAAAGGAGGTACAAAAGTTCACTGAAGAAAATAATTCCTTAAAAATCAGAATTGGGCAAGTGAAAGCTAATGACTTTATGGTTTAAAAACAAATAATAAAACAATAAAAACAATAAAACAAAATCAAAAGCACAAAAAATAGAAGAAAATGTAGAATATCTCATTGGAAAAAGAATTGACATAGGAAAATAGATCAAGGAGAGATAACTTAAGAATTATTGGATTACCAGAAAGTCATGATAAAAAAAAGAGCCTAGATATCATCTTTCAAGAAATTATCAAAGAAAATTGCCCTAATAGTCTAGAATCAGAGGGTAAAATAAATATTGAAAGAATCTACCTATCACCTCCTGAAAGAGATTACAAAATGAAAACTCTCAGGAATATTATAGCCAAATCATAGAGCTCCCACGTCAAGGAGAAAATATTGCAAGCAGCCAGAAAGAAACAATTCAAACACCATGGAGTCACCTTCAGCATCACATAAGATTTAGCAGTGTACACTTTAAAGGAGTGGAGGGCTTAGAATATGATATTCTGAAGGGCAAAGGAGCTAGGATTACAATCAGGAATAACCTACTCAGCAAAACTGAGTATAATCCTTCAGGAAAAATGGATGCTAAATGCAATAGAGGACTTCCAAGTATTCCTGATGAAAAGACCAGAACTGAATAGAAAATTTGACATTCAAACAGAAGACTCAAGAGAAACATAAAAAGGTAAACATGAAAGAGTAATCATAAGGAACTCAATAAAGTTAAACTGTTTGCATTCCTACATGGGAAGAGGATACATGCAACTCCCAAGAACTTTATCATTTTTAGGACAGTTAGAAGGACTCTGCATAGACAGAGGGCATGGGTGTGAGTTGATTATATTGGCACAATCTCCAATAAAAAGAATGTAGGGGTGAGTAAGAGGTATATCCTGGAGAAGGGGGAGGGGAGAGGTAAAATGGGGAAAATTTTCTTCCATAAAGGAAGTGTGCAAGGAAGAGCTTTTATAATGGAAGGGGCAATGGGGTGGTGGTGGCAGGTAATACTTGAACCTCACTATCATTGGAATTGCTTCAAAGAAGGAAGAATTTATACACACACTCAGTTGGGTATTGAAATCTATCTTATCCAATAGGGAGATAGAAGGGGAAGGGGATAAGAGATATAAGGGGGAATGATAAGAGGGAGGGCAGATTGGGGAAGGTAGCAGTTGGAAGGAAGACAGACTTCTGAGTAGAAACAGGATAAAAAGAGAGAGAGAGAGAGAGAAGGATAAATACAGGAAAATGGGATGGAGGGAAATGCAGTGATCATAGTGATCATAACTGTGAATGTGAATGAGATGAGAATAGAATGGAAGGAAATAGCAGAATGGATTGGAAATCAGAATTTTTTTTAAAACAGTATGTAGTGTATAAGAGACACACTTGGAACAGAAAGGCACATACAGAATTGAAATGAAAGACTGGAGCAGAGTCTATTATGCTTCAGCTGAAGTGAAGAGCACAGGGATAGCAATCATGATCTCAAACAAGCAAAAGTAAAATTAGACCTAGTTGAAAGAAATAATCAGGGAAACTACATTTTGCTAAAAGGTGAAGTAATATAAAAAAATTACAGTCAATTTCTCTGATAATGGCCTTATTCTTCAAATATATAAGGAATAGAGTCAAATTTATAAAAATAAGAGCCATTCCCCAATTGATAAATGGTTAAAAGATATAAGTAGGCAGTTTTCAGAAAAAGAAATCAAAGCCATCTCTAGTCATATGAAAAAATGCCACATACCTCTGTTGATTCATACTCTGATTATAGTCTACTAAAATTTCCAGATTATTTCACAAGAATGCATCTGTAGCCACTTCCCCCTCCTCCATTTTTTAAACTTGTAAACTTTCTTTAAATAAAGTGCAAGAGTTCAACTCCGCATTGATCCACCAAATTTCATCTTCTTGACACTGTTTCTTGATCATACTAGCTCTGGTATTTCCCTTGAAATTACTTTGGATTTGCTTTTTATATGTTTTGCATTGACTCATCTGTGTGCATATCCCCTCTCCCCCAATACAATGTAAGCTCCTTGTCACTAGAGATTTTTTCCTAGTCATACTCATGACTCTCACTGAGAAGACCAAGCTAATCATAGGTACTTACCAACCCAGGGGACAATAAATTTGTGCCCAAGCTGTATTTTGGGATCTGTAAAATTAAGCACAGAAGAGAAAAGGCCTGCATTAGGTAGAAATATAGTGTATAAAACCAGAAAAAGTTTGTGAGCATCTGGGTTTTGCTTGGGGTTAATAAGCATGTAACTTGGTCAAGCAGAACTGAACATGCCACAGGACCTGGGTTCATAGTGTCCTAGGAAAATGCAGCTGCTGCCTTAGAGGACCAACAGTCAGATAATGCAAAAATCACAAAAACAGGGCTTTAAGTTGTTCATCATTCCTCCCAAGATGACCAGGAACACTCTGGCCTGAAGTGCTTCCTAGAATGGGGTTCAAACCCTAGAAGGCTTGGTGTATCAACCAGAACATTGGGTTTGGAGGCAGAAGACCTAAGGAGGTATCCTGATTCTGCCACTTATTACCTGGGGGGCTAAATGAAGCCATCAATGATGTCATCATTACAAAATTACCCATATGTCTGGGGACAAAATCTTGTCTTGAAAGTCACTTGACATGAATGGGGATGTGTATGTTAATAGCAACCAGTACAAACAGGTCAGGGAAGGATAACGAATGCCTGCACAGAATCTGGAAAATAACACATACCATGTGACTAGTAGGGGGAATGCAAGCTGACGGCCACCAGCAGATCTAGGACCTTTGACTTTCAGAGCTGGAAAGAACCAAAGTAGATGCCTTGTCCCACTTTCTAGCCCACACAGCTACGTTCTACAAGATGCTGATATGGAACTGAATCTTCTAGTGCCTCAGAACACAAATGGACCATTCCTCAGACCATTCTTTGCCCTTTGCTCTGATTTCGTGCTCTCCAGGTTACCTTCTGATATGGACATTTGGCTTTTCAATTACCTTCCTAACAGGAAGGGGTACTCTCTGGATAAAGAACATGAAGATTTAATGGAAATTATAGGACTGTAGGACTATGGGATCATAGAGCTATACAGAACCTCAGAGGTAATCTAATCTAACCCCCTCACTTTGTGGTTGATGAAATCCAGAGGTTAGGTGACTTACCAATGTTATACAGTCAATAAGTGACTTGTCACTGGCAGTACATACATTCCTCAGCACCTATGGATTGAATTATCATCTCCATGATAACTCACATATCTGCAAATGTAGCCCATCTCCTTCCTGAGCTTCAGTTCCATATCTACCAACCATCTATTGGACATTTCAATCTGAATGTCCAAAGACATCTCAGACTCAATATGTCCAAGACCTTTACCCCCAAACCACCGCTTTACTAAACTCAACTTCTGTTGAGGGCACTACTATTCTTCCAATCTTTTTTTTTTAATTTTAAATTTATTTATTTTTAGTTTTCAACATTTACTTCCACAAGATTTTGTGTTCCAAAAATATGGAACTCTTAATGAATTTGAGTGTCATCTTTGCGCAGGGGCCATGCTAATCTTCTCTGTATCGTTCCAATTTTAGTACATGCACTGCTGAAGCAAGCACCATTCTTCCAATCTTCTAGGTTGATACTGTTGTCTTCAATCCCTCATTCTCTCTCACTGCCCCCCCCCCATATTCAATCTGCGGTCATATCTTGCTGTTTCTACTCCTACGACACTCATGAGTGCGACACCTTCTCTTTACTAACATAGTTTATCACCCTAGTTCAGTTCATCAATCAACAAGCATTTTTAAGCACCTACTATGTTCCAGGCACTGTGCTCAGTGCTGGGGATACAAAGAAAGGCAAGAGACAGTCTCTTCACTTCTTTATAGACTATTGTGATGGCCTTGTTAATCTTATTGTCACATGTCTCTCCCCACGCTCATCAATCTTCCACCATGCTACCAAAAGCCACGATCCCATCATATCAGAGTCCCATTTAATGAACTTCACTGCCTCCCTACTACCTCTAGGATTAAATATAAATTTGGCTGTAGTCTTTTAAAGATTTTCCCAATCTTGCCTTAACATAACTAACCAACTAACTAACTAATTAACTCACTCATTCATTCACTTTCTCTGTCTCTCTCACTGTCTCTGTATGTCTCTGTCTCTCTGCCTCTCTTTAGCCCAACTCTTTTCCTCATACATCCCATGGCTGTGCCCTTCCCCACACCCAGAAGGCTCCTTGTCCCGTCTTCTCCCTAAGAGAATCCCTCCTTTCCTTCAAGATGTAAAACACACACAATATTGTACAGGAAGCCTTTCCTCACTGGCCCAGCACCCAGTGCCCAAGTGCCATTCCTCCCAAGCTACCTTGTCCAGGAGTGGTAAAATCGCAGATTTTGAGAATGGTAAGAAGTTTTAGTGTCCATCTAGTCCTTACACCCAAAGAACCCTCAACAAATGATCTCCCAGTCTCTGAAGAATTCCAAGGGGGCAGCTAGGTGGCGCAGTAGACAGAGCTCTGGCCTTGGAGTCAGGAGGACCTGAGTTCAAATATGGCCTCAGACACATGACACTTAACTAGCTGTGTGACCCTGGGAAAGTCACTTCACCCCAATTGCCTCACCAAAAAAAAAAAAAGAATTCCAAGGAGGGTGATCCAACTGCCTTTTGAATGGTCCCTTCCAATGGCGGGGGGCAGCTCTGATTGTTAGGGAAGTTTTACTTTATTTTGAACTTGAGCCTAATTTTTCCTCTGCAATTTCTGCCCATTGTTCCTGGCTTTTTCCTCCTGGGTTACATAGAACATGTTTAGTCAACCTTCCCCAGAGTAGCCCTTCAAATGCTTGAATGCAGATATCCAATACTTCCTTGGCATTCTCTTCTCTAGGCTGCACATGCCCAGTTCCTTCAATTGATCTTCACGTGAGATGGAGTCAAGGCCCTTCCCCATCCTGGTCTCCTAAATTACTAAATTACTACTGTTACTAAATTAGATGACACTAAATTGCCACATCCTTCTTGAACCACGGTGCCTAGGACTGACCACAGTCCTTCAAATGAGGTCTGACAAAGGCTGCATGCAGTGGGGCTATCTTCTCCCAATTCCCAATAGTTCTGCCAAACTGAACAGTTTTTTCTCAGTCCTCACTCTCCTTGACCTCTCTGCAGCCTTTGACATCATTGGTCACCCTCTTCTTCTTGTTATCTGCCTGCCACAAGTCTCTCCCCACTCCAGTTCGTCCTCCACTCAGCTGACAAACTGATTTTTCCTAAAGCAAGGTCCCACCACATAACTCTCCTATTCAATAAACTATGGTAGCTCCCAACACCTCCAGGATCAAATATAAAGCCTTCTGTTTGGTATTTTCTAAGCCCTTCATAAGCTGCCCACCCTTACTGTCCCAGTCTTCTTACTCTTCTCACACCTTCCTCCCCACCCCCACATTTTCTTTGATCCAGTGACACTGGCCTCCTAACTCTTCCTTACACACAACACTCTTATTTCTCAACTGCATTTTTACTGGCTGTCATCTATGCCTAGAATGATTTCCCTCCTCATTTATGCCTTCCAGTTTTCCTGTTTTCCTTTGAGTTCCAGCTAAAATCCCATCTTCCATAAGAATAATAACAACAATAACAGTAGCTCACATTATTGTGACAGGTGCTGTGCTAAGTGCTTTATAATTATTATCTCATCTGATCCTTTCAAGGATCCTGGGATGTAGGTGCTAGTATTACTTACATTTTACGCATGAGGAAACTGAAGCAAACAGTTAAGCCCAGGGTCTTGTCTGAGACTGGATTTGAACTCAGGCTCATTTCTTCATCCACTGAGCCACCCAGCTGGCTTTCTCAAGCCTTCTTAAACTTAGCACCATCCCTCTGTTGATGTCTCTAACTTGTCCTGTGTATAACCTGTTTATACATGATTGTTTTCACATAGTCTCCCTCTTTAGACTGAGTTCTGTGATAGCAAGGACTTTCTTTGTGTTCTCAGCACTTAGCAGAGTGCCTGGAACATTGTATGTATGTACTTAATCATAATCAATGCTTGTTGACATGGTTTGACCCTGTCTAAGACCTTACTTTCGAGCAGCTAGGTGGCGCCATAGTTCTTAGAGCGCTGGTCCTGGAGTCAGGAAGACTTATCTTCCTGAGTTCAAATCTGTCCTCAGGTACTCTGGACAAGTCACATCACCCAGTTTGCCTCAGTTTCTTCATCTGTAAAATGAGCTGAAGATGGGAATGACAAACCACTTCAGTATCTTTGCCAAGAAAACCCCAATGGGGTCTCAAAGAGTTGGACACAACTGAAAAACAAGAACAAGAACTTTTCTCCAGCTCATTTTACATATAGATGAGGAAACTGAGAAGGGGGTGGTGAGTTCCAGGAAACCTCTTGACATAAGGGAAAAGCTTATTATTAGAACTCTATTACAAAGTAGAGTGGCAGGCCCTATGAGGTCTGTAAGCAAAGACTAGATGACTACCATTAGAACGTAAACTCCTTGAGTAACTAGATGGCACAGTGGATACAGGGCTGGACCAGGAGTCAGGAAGACCTGACTTCAAATCTGGTCTCAGACATTTATTAGCTGTTTTATCCTAGGAAAGTCACTTAACTTCTGTCTGCCTCAGTTTCCTCAATTGTAAAATGGGGACAATAACAGCACCTACTTCTCAGGGTTGTCGTGAGGATCGAATGAGATAATAATGGTAAAGCACTAGGCACGGTACCTGGTATACAGTAGGTGCTTACTAATTGCTTGCTCTGTTCTGCTTCCCCCCATTTATTCAACCCTTATCCTCTCTGTAGCCAAAAGCACTGTTGATCATCTTCCCCTCATGGATACTCTCTCCTCTCTGGCTTTTCTTGACATTGTTTTCTCTTAATTCCTCTCCTACCTCTCTGACTGCTCCTTCTCAATCTCCTTTGCTGGAGCATCATTCAGATCATGTTCCTTTCTGTGGGTGTTCCCTGAGAATCTGTCTCAGGATCTCTTCTCTTTTCTCTCTACATTGTTGTATTGAGACATTGGGTGAGTTTCTATGGGTTTTAACTAAGTCTTTATTGGATATTTTGGACTGAACATCCCATGGGCATCTCAAACTCAACATGTCTGATACAAAACTCATTATTCCCTTCCCTCTTCAAAAGAACCTCTTCCCTCTTTCAAAATTTTCTATTTCTGTTGAATATATTGCTGCTCTTTCTGTATCTGTATCTGTTTCTGTATCTGAGAAGTCTACTCCTCAGTCTTACCCATTCCACATATATAATCACTTATTAAATCTTGCCATTTTGACCTTCATAATGTTTCTTGCATCTGTCCTCTTATCTCCACAATATAGCCATCACCCTCATTACTTCTTTCCTGGATGATAGAAATAGCCTCCAAATTAGGTCCCTAAGTTAAGTCCCTCCCTACTTTAACCCCTTTGCCCTCCAGAGCAGCCAAAGTGATTTTCCCAATGTACAGTATGGCCATTCACTCTCTTGCTCAATAAACTCCAGTGGCTCACTATCCCTTTAGGATGAAATATAAACTTCTTTGTTGGCTATTCAAAGTTCTTCACAATCTAGCCTCAACCTACCTTACCAGTTTTATTACAGATTATCCTCCCCTACACACTCTAGGGGTCAATCAAACTGGCATCTGTACTGTTCCTCATATGCAACACTCCCATCTCCTATCTCCATGGCTTTGCATTGGCTGAGTTTCTCATTTCTGGAATATACTCCTGCCTTACCCCTATCTCACAGCAGCCCTAGGTTCCTTCAAAATACAGCTCTGGAACTACCTTCCACATGAAGCCTTTCTTAATTCCCTGGCTGTTGGTTCCCACCTTCCCCAGATTACTATGAATCTATTTTGTATACACCTACATATGTATCAGTTCATGTGTCTCCTCCATTAGAATGTAAACTCCTTGAGGACAGGGACTATTCACCTTTGTCTTTGTATCCCTGGGTCCTGGCACACAGTAGGCACTTACTTCATAAATACTTGTTGATTGATCATGAACTAGACAGCCTTTCCCATCCTTTCTAGGTCTGACAGTTTAGCATTAGTCCACTCTGAGCATCCTTACCTCTTCGGTTCAGAAGAATTTTCGCATACTCTGGGTCATAGATATTTAAAAGCACCTGAAAAGCCCCAACCCAGTGAGGGAAAGCACAAGGGTATTTTTCTACCAACACATCAAACTGCTGTAGTTCTTTTTCCAGGTAAAGCTGCAATGAGAAAAGCAAAAAGATGAGTTTGGGCAGTCAGCAAGGAAAACTTCTCATCTCTGTTTCCAACCCCTCCTCCTATAACCTGCCCCCCTCCCCAGCCTTTTAGAAGCTCAGATGAGTTGAGGGCACTTTAGAAGGGAGATATGAGTATAGATTCTGAACTGTAGCAGTGAAAAGGATCTGCAGTACCTCCTCCAACCTATACCTGGGCAAGAATCCTTTCCACTACATTCTGGATAAATGATCATACAGGCCTCCTCTTGAAGATCTGGAGTAGCTGGAACTGCAAATTCAAGGCCTGTTTAACCAAATATCTGCTAGGCATTTCTGTTATGCCATGTCATCAGCATCTCAAATGCAGGAGATCCAA